CTTACCTTTTAGAAAAATGTCACTTGGGGTAAAACTCCCCCTGCAACCCTGATTTGCATACATCCCCCCCTAGAATTCCATGGGGGGGAGGCATGGGGGGAACACTGCCTAAGAAAGTCCACTTCAATTTCTGACAATTTACGGGAGTTTTCGGCGAAGCCTGCAAATTGCCGTAAACTGCCGCTAACGTGAAGTTCCACGACAATCTACAGTGCCGCATATTGACGAAAATCCCACTTTTCATGCAGTGAAATTCAGACATGTTGCATTTCATCAAGAAAAACTTGCCCCTCACTTTCTTAAAATAGGTTCCAACCTAAAAGACAAGCTTCACAAAAAGCATTATGTAATTAATCAGTTGCTCATTCACAGTTTGTTTTTATTATATGTTCAGTTATATGTTTAATTTGCCTATAGGTAAAAACGGTGATAAGGCTGTTAAAACTATTCAGTAAATGTTAAAATCTATGTTAAACTAACAGGCTTGGTTAGACTAAAAGTGATGTTCTATGTCTTAAAATATAAAAAGAGGACAGATGTATACAATTAAAATACACCAAGTGTATTTCTGTTTCAGCCAAATGAAAAGGAGTAAATGGCACTGAGGAGTTAATGGCACTTAATATCACTCGGTATTGGTACTCGGTATCGGCAAGTACTGAAGTTGAAGTACTTGAAATTGAAATTGGTTTGAAGAAATCTGGTATCTGCACATCCCTAATATGCGCCTTATAGTCGTGAAAATACGGTAATAGCCAATAATTACACTATAGATCATTGTAGTGCCACAGAACTTGTAGCACACATAGATAACCTCATCCAGTTCATACTCCAACTTACTTTCGGAATATGTGCTCAACTCAATTTTTTTTTTTTTGATTTTTTAATTGTTATTATAAGCAGGCCAGGTGCATAATCTCTGCAACAGGAACCACAGCACTGAGTGTTGTGTGCACTGCACAAAGTATACCTGTCACAAATGCAGAAAGGACTCACCTTGGGTTTGTGAAAACTGCTAAATTGCCATTAGTATACACAATAATTAAATAGCTGTCCGTGCAGTCATTTTTTATCATGTATTATAACTCATAACTGTGCTCTCAACAATATGCAGTTTTCCCCAATTTTAGATTTAAAAAACTTAATTTTCAGTAACCCTGCCTTGTTAAACAGACCCCAGATTGTAAAAAAGATACGATGATGTGATTAAACACTCGAAGAAGCAGCTGTTGTCCACAAAGAAACAAATTAGAGACGAGTTCAACAAGCTCCACCAGTTCCAGAGACAGAAAGTAGAGCTAACATGAAAACTGTTTGTAACCAATGAGACTTCCACATGCAGGTGAAAACCTAACATAGCAGATTGTTTTATTTAACACGTGACAAACAGGTTAAAGTACAGAAAGTTATAAAAAAAATGTTATTCATCTGAGTTAAGACGCCATTACTGGGTGTTTAGGCTCTGCTGAAAAACGAATAGAATATATTTAAAAACAAGTACTTTGATTTTAAGAAGATTCTGCTGAAACTTTGGTGAGTCCTACTGTTGAAATAATAAATTTTAAAATGGATGAAATTCTTCTGGAAGATTACTTGAGATGCCATGTGTGTTCAGAGACTTTCAGAGATCCTGTGTCTCTGAGCTGCAACCACAGCTTCTGTTCAAGCTGCCTGAATAAATTCTGGGAACAAACTGGAAACAAGAACTGTCCCATCTGTAAGAGACATTCTTCCAAAGAGTTTTTGCCAGTAAATTTTGGACTAAAGGACCTGTCTGACACTTTTGCTGGCAGACAGGAGTCTGAATCATCTGAGACAGAGAGAGAAGAAAGGCATCCGATGGTGTTCTGCACTGAACATCAAGAAGACCCTAAACTGTTCTGTAAGGACGAGCAGAGAGCTGTGTGTCCTGTATGTGATATTTCGCTCCACCAGAGTCACAAATTGGTTCCTATAGAACAAGCAGTCAGTGAGCTGAAGGAGCAGCTGAAATCTGACTTAAAGTATCTGCAGGACAAGAGGAACAAACACAAAGAGTTGGAGAAAACATACGATGATATTATCCAATACTCTAAGAACAAGCTGTTGTCTACAGAGAGTCAGATCAGAGCAGAGTTCAACAAGCTCCACCAGTTCCTAAGAGAGGAAGAGGAGTCCAGACTGGCAGCTCTGAGGGAGGAAGAGGAGCAGAAGGGCAAGACTATCAGCAGAGAGATGAAGAGGATTCAGGAGCAGATCTCCTCTCTGTCAGACAGTATCTCTGCTGTTGAAGAAGACCTGCAGAAAGACCAGGTGTCATTCCTCAGCAGTTATAAAGCCACTCAGAGCAGAGCCAGAGCCCAGAGCTCACTGTCAGATCCACAGCTGGTCTCAGGAGGTCTAATAGATGTGGCCAAACACCTGGGTAACCTGTCCTTCAGAGTCTTGGAGATGTTGAAGGACAAGGTCCACTTCAGTCCTGTCATTTTGGACCCAAACACAGCTAATGCATACCTGTATCTGTCTGATGATTTGACCAGTGTGAGATATGGAGACAAATGGCAGCAGCTTCCTGATAATCCAGAGAGAAACACAGAAACCCCTTCTGTTTTTGGTTCTGAGGGCTTCAGCTCAGGGAAACACAGCTGGGATGTGGAGGTTGGAGATCATCCCATTTGGAATATTGGTTTGGTTAAAGAGTCTGCTAACAGGAAGGGGGAAAGATATGCTTCACCAAAATATGGTATCTGGTGTTTGTGGCATCGTGATGGTAAATACTCAGCTTCTGGTAAGAATCTCTCAGTGAACAAGAGTGTCCAGAGGATCAGAGTCCAGCTGGACTATGACAGTGGGGAAGTGTCCTTCTATGACCGTGAAGACATGTCTCACATGTACACCTACAGAGACACTTTCACTGAGAAACTTCTTCCTTATTTCTCTATTGGAAAACCTGCTGAAACATCTGACATCAGAATCTGTCAATCTGAGATTTTTGTGTTTTCAGACTAGTTAAAGTAATGAAAGTTACTTCTAAAATTATTCTTTTTATTTTAGGTCACAAAATGACGTGTGGACCTTTGGCAGAATTCTGATGCAATAACCAAAGAGCAAGCACTGTGCACATATGGTGCTCACGGGAAATGTATTTTCACAGAGTCATATTTAGAATTGCTCATTTAGATAACATTTAAGAAATGTACAATTAAAGAACCAAATTGAATCCAAAGCACTAAAGTAGAAGTGTCTGTGCTACCCACCCCAGATGAAATTCACCCACATTTTGCGGGTTGGTGGGAGTCACCGTGTGCTTTTCTACTGTATAAATTTGCAGGAAATATAACAGTGAAATTCTAATTTTGACATGAATTAAATACATGTAACCTATAGATGGTAACAGATTTAGCACATTGATTGATACATTTAGACATTTTTGTCATTTGAATGATAATTTAATTTGTATTTGTCTTTACTTTTAAGTTTTATTTTATTTTATTCAGGTTAAACTTGATTCTCTGGCATAATCTAAGTCACCTTTATGGATTTCTAAAATAAATGTATTTAAATTGTAAACATATTTGCTCTACCTAAAGAAAACAAGCTTTTGCTTCAATTTAAAATATTTTGTAAAACAATAAAATGTTTTCTGATTGTGCCGAACACCTTTTGGTTTTTACCCAATCATATAAGACCCCTTTATTACCTGGTGCAGATCGATGGGGGAATTGTATCTCAGATAGCATACACAAAGGAGGAAACATGTTTAAGCATTGAAATATGTTATTTCAGTTGTGATTAACAAAATCATTGACAGAAGCAAAAATTGCAGAGGAAGATTTCATCTTCTATTAGGCCCATACAAATCAGCAGATCAGGGGAGAACCCACTGAAAAGGCAGAGAGCTTCTGTCCATTTTCCCATTTTATCTAAAAGTCAGCCAGAAAATCGGAGTTGGGTGCCTGGTGGATCTGACCCCGGGGTCTGTTGCCCCCATCCGGGTGGGGCCTGGGACGCCTCAGAGCATCCTACAGCGGCCGCTTGCGGGGCTCTTAGGGGGTTCTGTGGCGGCGGACGTGGGTTACTGGCCTTGTAGTTGTGCTGTTGCTGAGTGGGTCTGGGGGTCTGGGGTCCCTGTGGTGCGTTGCCCTCAGGCAGGTGCCCCGGCGGGGCGTCTGGGTTTTGGTTCTGTGGGCGGTGTATGGCCGGCTGTCCAGCCCTGCCGGGGCCTCTGGTGTGCTTGGGCTCTCAGGGCCTGTTGAGCTGGGTGGGGGCATGGACATTAACAACTTATGGCAGATGCTTACCCTTTCAGGGGTTTGCACTCTGCTAGTGGGGGAAGGGGAGGGAGGGGGAGTGGGAATGAACTCTGCCTGGATGCCTTTTGTCACTTGTGTGGTAAGTGGTTTGAATTTTAATATAGGGGAGGGATCACATCTCCGGTCGGGGGATGGGGGGTGGTGGTGGAGGGATGAGGATATTAGAGGGCTTTGGGTCTGGCTCCTTTTTTTTTGCATGGACAGGATGTGTGGGGGGGTATGGGGGGCCTTGGTTCATGGGCCCTACAACGGTTGCATTCCCCCACCCCCTCTCTCGCATTTAGTCATTGAGGGTTCTGGGTTGTGGATTGGGGGGGTGCCTGTCTCCCGGAGGGGGTGTGGACTGTGCTGGACACCCCCTCTTGGTACTCGCAGTTTTGATTACACCTGAGAGCAACACGCAAAAACACCACATTCAAGCAGGCGCGGGGGGATCGGAGTCTTCTCACTCCCCTGTTCCCCGGCAGCCGCCCATAGTGTAGGGTCTGGAGGAAGAGCGAGCTGCCTGGTCTGTGGTACTGGCGGGGGCCTGCTGCGGGGCCTGGGTGGCCTGCCGGTGCTGGGGCTGTCACTTCTGCTTTTCTCCCCAAAGTAGGATGGTGGGTGGGTCGTGTAGCAAATGGAAGGGAGGAAGTGGCTGGATGAATTAGTTAGGGGGGGTGGGGCAGCTCTGGTTGGGTGACCTGTGCGGGGCATGTGGGCCCCGATCCCGGGGGGGCTTTTGATTCCGGTGGTCTGGTCCGGGTGCGGGTTGGGGGGCCGGGCCCGAAGCAGGAACGAGATGGGTTGGTGTAACCGCTCCCCTCCCCCCCATCTGGATTTTAGGTTCACTTATTGGGTCATCCGATAATCCCGACCACTGTTGCCGCGTTTTTTTTGGCTCATCTCTAGAGTCTGTGTGGTGTGAATGAAGGCACTACGGTGGTAAGGCTTGATTGAGAGTGTGAGGTTATTTCTTTTCTTTCCCAGGTTGGGGACTGCACTGCTCCCTCTCCCAAGCACATCTCAAGTCTCCCGCAAGTGCGTAGCTCATTTCACTTGTCCTGCTCTCCCTCCGCAGGCTTGCCGGTGCACTGGTGGAGCTCGGGGTTTGGGGGTGGATGCCTGGGTGGCTACTGGCTTATTCCTGGCGGCTTCTCCGCGGGGCCCAGCCGGCTGCAGACCCATCCCCGCAGTTCCCTTGGGCTCCGGCGTTGAGGTGGGGGACTTCCTCAGGGCTGCCTCTCCTCCTCCCTTAGTGAGGGTTGGATTTCTGGGCTGGCCCCTCCTTGGCGCCTTCTGAGGCTTTGGGTCTCTCGATGCTGGACTCAGTGCTCTCTGGGGGCGCCTCCTTGGCTCTCCACAACCACTATTGAGAATTTTTTCTTTGGATAAACTTTACATGCACAAGTGCACTTTCACAAACAACTACAGGTGCTCAGTTCCAGGTACTCAGGGTTTCACTTGCATACAGAAAGCCCATATTCTTATCTTCAGGTAACACAGAGTACATGTCAGATTAAATAACACTACTTCAGCAATAGTATCTTGGTGTTACTTTATTGTATGTCTAGTACCATGTCTGTTGGTTGTGCTGTTCTTTTTAAAACTCTTTGCAGATGATGAAGCAGACTGAACATGTTTTATCATTATCTCCCTTTTATCTCCTCTTTCTTTCATCTTTTATCCTTTTTTCTGTTTTCCTTTCCTGTTCTACTTACATTGCAATGTCCATATAATCTGTAAAACTCCCTGCATAATTATTATAAAGCAATTTATATGCATAAAACAAGCGGAACACTATGGCGATAGCCCTACTGCTCCGCTTGTGAAAGTAAAATCTGTTGGGCTCTTTTTGGCATCAAGACAATTATTCTTATTGCCACATCGCCAGACAGGACACTGTAAAAAAAAAAATAATAATAATAATAAATATATAAAAGTCAGCCAGGAAATGTCTCTCTCCCAAAAGCCCCCAATCCTTCTTAAAACCTACAGCATTACCAAATAAGGTGATGCTGGAGCCGCTCTAACTACCTTAAGCATAAGAATGTCTATTTTGGCTGACTCACACAGAACAGTTATAGAAATGAACAGATATAAGAGTTAAAACTGAAAATAAAATAAAAAAGAAATTAATCTTCAAAACTAATAAATATAAATATGTGTTTATGCTATTGTTGTGATGTTTTACCAGAGAGGTTATGAATATATTAAATTATTAGAACTTGAAGTTATAGCTAAGTAATACGTCATTCAAATTAAGGCTAAATCCAATTAATGATAGTTAATTGAATGATTATAACTTAAATTTTCTTACTCATCAGCCTTCCTAGTCTTATACTTGGCTTGGACTCCTTTATTGGCTGTTTAAAATGCAGTTGCCTTCACCAATTTAATCATTTAGATTATGTATATTAGCACTTATTAATCACCAACCAAATTTGTCTGTGTTAATTCAAATTTACTCATAGGGTGGAACTAACCTGAGTCATAAATCGTTCACTGCATAAAATAACCACATAATACATAGTACCTTTATTAGCTAATAATCACACACACAGTATAATTATATCTAATGACTACGTAAACACTAAATACTACTGAATATAAGCACATGGAAATAAATGTGAATAAATGGAGAATGGGGGGTTTAAAACACTGTTCAAGACTATCTAAGGAATGTCCAAGTTTTAAGGCTCTAATGCATTCAAAGTGTCCTTTAAAATAGCAGCACATAAGTGTTAATAACCCTGATGCAGACACATAAAATGCAATAAAACGGAATGCATTAAAATATAGTGACGCTGGAAAGAATGTGTAAGTTCATCTGGTACCAGGCGATTCTGCAGCAGGCCAGTTAGAACAAAGAGAAACTATTCAGTTATGCCTCTGCCTTATTTATTGATAATGGTATGTGTAATAAGTTTCATATTTTTGTAGCTTTAGAGACCAGGGTGACAGAATTATAAACCTGGAGCTAGACCAGGCCCTCTTGTTAAGTGCCTGGAGCCACCAAGACTAGGGACACCTTTGTGTAGTCATCCTCCAACAGTACATGAGCAGGCAGGCAATTGGGTAGCGGTACACATGTCTTCATTTAGCTGCTGGTTTTCTAGGTGGTGTCCTGAAAGCAACATGGGTTACATTAATGATTGGTCATCTTAATAGGGGAAACCTGGTCTGATTTGAAGAGACAGCATCCATCCCATTTCGGAAGGGGAAGCACTTATTTCTAGGATTCTTGTCAAATTTATTAGTCCTCCAAAACCCTTACAAACCAGGGTGCACACCAGAAAGCAGAGTTGTAGTTTAGCACACCTCCTTGCAGCTTCTCTACTGTTATCCACTCATTACTCCATCCAGACACTGTCTTGCCCATGACCAAAATCAAAATATTTAGAAAATAATCCTAAAGGAGTAAATCATAGTAATAAATTAAAATTGAAATAACCCAAATTGGGAACAAGTTAAAACGATTAAATGTGGTTTATTTAACAAAAGTTCTCGTTCTTCAAAAAGTCTGTTTATTACTGAATTGATTTGTGATAATCAAACTGATTTAGTGTACGTTGCCTTACAGAAACATGGCTGCAGAAAGAAGATTATGCGAGCATACATAAGGCCTCTCCATCTAGTTACTTAAAATTTCACATTGTTGTGGGAAAATTTATATCTTTCTCCTATTATATATTAATATTCATATTTACTCACTAT